ACTCATACAGCGGCCCCTTCAAATTTTTCCGAGTTACACGAGGTTAGAAATATATATTGTTATATCAGAACGTAAATCATTTTAAATAAAGACGTTTAACATTATTAAAAATTTAATAACTTTTGTAATTTGTTAGTTCATTACTTTAGTAACATCATTTTTTTGAGCAACTATCAAAATAATATTATTTAGTTATTTCACATAATGGTTGATCGGATTTATCAAGTAAAATAGTAATTTCAAATCTTTTAATAAAGTGCTCTAGTCAGGTTTATTTTGCTTGATTACACGACAGAAAAAAGACCACAAAATTACTCAGATTTAATTAAAACTGCTCAATCAGTTTTCTTTTGGACGAACGGTCGTTGGGATCAATTAGATGTCTGGCAAAAAGAAATTTTTTCCCTTATTGGTAGTGTTGTTGTTGTTACAATTTTACATAATATGTTGATTGCAATTATGACTTAAGTTTTGAATTACTATACTATACTTCTTGGTATAATTAATTACATCAAATTATTTAAACTAACTGATTTTAATATTAGTTCTGCATTTGATGATGCAAATGAAGTTAGTAGACATGCTGCGTTAAAATATAGAGCAGAAATGATCGCAGAATATGAAACAATTGATAAACCATCCGGAAGTCAAGAGTTAAATCCTCGATATATTTATTTTACGAGTAAAACGGATTATATTAAAAATTGGTTAAAAAAATCTGAAAAAGCTAGGAAAAGTCATAGAAATTATTTGGCCGAAATTGAGAATGATTTATGGCATTATGATGATGACGGTGATGTTGAGGATTATTACTATGACAGTAATAATAAAAGGAAAAATTGGAATCATTTTCAGAATTATTCTTATGTTTCACCAAATGTTGGAATCCCACTATCCTTATATTGGTTTGTTGATAAAGATGAAAATAATAAGAAATTTCAACCTTCACTTATGACTTCTTCGATAATGCGAAAAGAGATTATTTATAATGATGTTAAAATATTACAAGAAAAGATTCAGCATTTAATTTTTATATTACAAAATCAGCAAAATTAAATGTTTTGTTTAATTTCACGCGTTTTAATTTGTGATTACGCAGATTACGCGGTGAGTTTTGGAAATTTAATGTAATTCAAATCAAAGAACATAAATAAATTAAAAAATTATTTGGCAAATTTTCTATTCTAATAAAGAAAATAAATAGCCTTTCCCTTCTTTTTACGATTTATGGATGTAAAGTACACATAACACAGTGCCGCAGTAGTAAAATTCGATATACTGAACAATTATATAGAATATTATAATAATCTAATAATTATATTGATAATAGAATATTTTAGTTAGTTTAAATTATATAAATTATATGTTAATATTACATAAATAAAATAGAATTAAATAAATAATGTATAACTTGCTAACTATAATAATAATAATCTAACAATGTATATATTGATAATAAATTTATTATAGAATATTATAATCTGATATATCAAGTTTTTACTTACGCTTTATATTCAGTTATATCGAAATTCACCATGTAAAATTGTTATTACTGGGAAATGGAAAGCGTAGGAAGTCTAACGTACTATTAAAATTTTATAAGTAAATATAGTACTACAATAATTACAAAAATCTGATAAACCAAAAGGAAAGATTTGATTTATCCCGAAAATAAATTTTCGTCCGTAGTTGAATGTATAGAAATCTTTACTTAGCGCTGGAGAGTTTTCTATATACTAGTAGTATTTATTTTTTTTGATTATGTGTTTCAATTATTATGGAACGTCATTATTGACCGAGTTGGTTCAAAAACGCCATGTGTTTAATCTACGTATTTCTTCTTTTCTGTATTTATCTTTAAAAGAAAAAAAAATTAAGATGTCGTTAACCAACCAGTCACGTGATTGTGATCGGTCGATTGTTGCGTGCGTCCCTAGTTAAAATGAAACGTAAAATTTTGGTTAATCATACAGCACTGTTATAAAAAATAAAAAATTTATAATCACCATTTTATTAATAGAATCAGTTTTCTCTAATAAAAAAAAATAAAAAAATGAATCATTATTTGACTAACTTGATACTTTTATCAAGATTCAGGACCTGCTGGTCCCAATCTTTGAAACTGAAATTAACTGAAATTAAATATTATGCTTTTATACCATTTTATAATTTATTACCAATATCATTAATAAATAAAAATATTTTGATATTCATTCTATTTTTAGTTAAATATATGTAACATAAAGGCGTTATAAAATTAAAAATAATTGATTTTAATTTATTAAAAATTAAAATTTCAATAAAAATATAACTTTGATAAGCCAATCATCAGAATTTATTAGATTTAGGATTATAATTTTTTTGTAAAATTAAATGTTTGAATTATATTTCTTTAAACCATAAAAATATAGCAGAACCTTAAGGGGATTCTTCTCTCGTGCAAAAATATTGATTTGATAAATCAGGGTATAACTTGATATGTTTATAGGATACAAACGCGTAAGACTATTATAAAAACTATATTGCAGAAACTTTTAGAATTGAAACCATATCGTGACCATGTCAAAATTTTATCGTAGGAATTATAATCAAGATCTGGTCACGATATGGTATTATATCATCACGATAAGTTTGAGTGAATCGTATGTATAAAGTTAAGGAGATCGTCACCTGATCTAATCGGATCGTACAAAAATAGTATTGAATCACAAAATACAAATTAAAGTTATAATTAACGCATATTTAAGTTGTAATAAATAGATATTAAAGTGATATTAAAGTTACATTCAATTTATATTGAATAAATATTAAAGTGATAGTAAAGTTATATAATAAATTTATTTTTGAAGCTGTAAATAAGTTGTAAGATAAAACTAATAGTAGAGTGTTCTATTCTAAATCTAATCCTATGTAAATAAATCGTAAATGAAAATTGATGTAAAATGTTATATCGATAATAAACATTAAATGGTCTTGAAAAAATATAAACTTCGCATATTTCTAGAATCATGATCGCCTCCGATGCTAAGCCATCTAAAAAAAGAATAATGAGATATTAGTAAACACGCTCGTAAAATAATAAAGAAAAAAAAGAAAATTACTTGTTTTTTATGATCAAATATTTATTTTTATAGATATATTTTTTATTTATTTATTAATCCTATTTAATCCTATAACATTTCTCCGAATTTTTATAACTTTAAATGGGAAATTTTGTTTCATTTGTTTAACCGATAATGGTAAAAGAATAGATAAAGATTTTTTTCTAATTAATAAAAATAAAAATAAATTATTTTATTTGAGATACTTTTGTATGATATTATTTTATGGTAATATATATTTTTTTCGATAACTTTCATAGACTTTTTTTTATTTATTATAGTAATTTATTATTAGGTTAATAACTAGAGTCATATCCTAGGGCCGGTGACCGGCCCCTAAAGAGTATGATATATACCATAAATTTTAACAGAAACAAAGTATTGGTAAGATATAATTTAATTTTCACTTTAAATTATTTTAGATGAAAAAAAATAAAAAAAAATATTCATTTATTTCATCATTTTTTTTATGTTTCGATTTAATAATCTTGTAATTGGCCTTAAGAGAAGAATTTTTTTTTTGAATTTTGTAAAAAACATTTTTTTTAAAAAAAAATTTTTCGTTTCTAACCAAAATAAAATTATTCAATAAAATTTATTTCACATGATTAAAAACTTATTAAAATATATATTACATGAATTGATTTATTAAAAAAAAATTATATATATTACACGAATTGATTTATTTAAAAAAATAATATGTGGATATAGGATCGTCTAAATAAAATATAAATAAGTAAATTCATATAGTTTTTTTTTAATAATTAAATTAATATAATGTTTTTTAATTATAATTTTTTTTTAATATAACGCTTTTTTTTTAATAAATAAATTTATATAATGCTTTTTTTTGAAATAAATCCATACAATATTTTTTTTAATAAATAAATTTTATAAATTCGGGTATATATATATTTTTTAATAAAATTCGGGTATATATTTTTTTTCAATAAAATTCGGATATTTTTTTAATGAAATTCGGATATTTATTTTTTTCAATAAAATTCGGATATATATATATATACATTGATACATATTTTTAATAAAATTTGGATATATATATTTTTATATTTTTTGATCGGGTTCATTTATGAATGTTTAAATTATTTATATATTTAACTTCCTTCAATTCCTATTATAATTAATCACAAAAATCAGCCTCCTGAACAATGTATACGAATAATAAATATTTTTTTAATATTAAATATATGGTTAGCTCTCGGATTTTTGACCAGCCAATTCATAATTCCTTGATGTTAATATATGGTTAGTTTTCAGATTTTTGATCAACCAATTCGGATCATACCGCAGATCATGATCAAAAAATTTTTTTTTATATAAACGACCATTGTCCGTAATATTGATATCAATATCAACTCAATATCAATTCAACTCAATATCAATTCAACTCAATATCAATTCAATATCAATTCATATCAATATCAATTCAATATCAATATCAATATCAATATATTATAAAAATGCTCTCCATACTTAGTGCATAAGAGCTAACCAAATTAGCAAATTTTTCCTTCCTTTCCGGGATAGCAAATTAGCATAACAACCAATCACAAGAAATATCACTATTAAAATGAAGATCACCTGATATCGTTAATTATATAGTGCGATCTGTATATAGTGTCAATAAATAAATAAAATGTAAACAGCTGATATAAAAAATGTCTTTTGGAATGAGCGGGTAAGAAAATGATTTGATCTGTCACAATTTTATTCGATGAATTTTAATCACTAATATTAAATTGTAGACTAGTCTCTTGAATTTTTTGCTATAAAAAAAAATAAATAATGCTAATATAAAAAATGTGTATACAATGAATTAAATATCAAATTCTGTTATAAAAAAGAATCCATCCATTTGGCAATTTCTTTTAATTTCACGAAAAAAAAATAGTAATAAACTTGAAAGTTGATAGTTTAGTCGGTTAAACCATGGTTGATTGACGGTCAGAACTCGATATAACGCTAAGTGATATAAAGAATTTCACGATAAAGCGATTTTCAAGATTTTTTATGATATATTATATATATATTATATACTGTAAAGACAGTGCAGTATTTTCAAGAAATAATTCTTAATTTTTCAGAAATTTACGTCGCGTTTTTACTGGCATAAAGTTTAATCGCGTTTAATTATATACAATTTCGAAAGTAAATTACATACTTCAACGGATCAACGATAGTTTTAATGATTTAACTTGTGAAAATAGATTTTTAATTCATCTATCAAACTATATTTAATTTAACTGATTAAAGTCAAATGCAAAAAAAGATATTTTCTTTTTTATTACAAATTTTATTCAATACATTTTCATTTTTATTTTCTGTTAATTACAAATATGCATTCTAACTAATGATCCAAAAATTTTTTCGAATAGTACTGTAGTATAACGATGATGAATTATTTGATTTTAATTCTAATAAAATTTCATAAATATTTATTCGTTGTTCCACCCATAATTAATCGAAAATTTTGTAAATTTATGATAACTATCATATTCATCGGTATCACATGACAACTCCGCTACGGATCGACAAAAAGGGAAAAGTCATATGATAACGAAATTTATAATGTAATAATTATAGTAAAAAAATTTTTACATGATAATAATTAATAACTAAATCATCCAATTTAATTTAATGATTTTATATTTAAAGAAAAGTCCAGCTATTCTTTTCAATGCCTATTAAGTAATATAATGATTTCATTTAAGTAAAAGTAGTAGTTTATTTATTACAGGGCTGGGGTTAGAAATTATTATGCTTTGATAATAATAAATTAACTTTTATTGTTGAATGGTGTAGTTAGCCGAAAAATTATTAGCCGCAACGTGGACCCGGCTCAGGCGTAGATCGTCGTGGAATTCCAGGGGATTTTCTGCAATTAAACCGGGTCTGGATGATCGGCAATCAGGAATTCGGCTCCGTTTTTTCGGCTAACTACACCATTATAAAAACAAAAAAATTGATTGCTAAAATATAATATTGACTAGATGATTAAATAGTGACTTAACCAGTTAATCTATGATTGCTTCATTTATGCCGATCAATTGTAACCCAGGTTTATACTATACTATTTATGGAAATTTTTAATAAATGTTACACATGTTGCACAAGAGTTTATTTGCTAATAAATTTACCCGAACTCCGTTACTTTTTTTTTTTTTTTGCTTCTTTTTTTAAAGTAACGTTTTTTTTTTTTTTTGAATTTAAAAAATAGATAGATTGCAATCTATATATATACAACCCGAATCGTATGGAAATATCCAAAATAAAATCTTAAAAGTTTATGGAAGGAATACGATAGTGAATATCAGGTAAAAACGGTTCACTTTATCATTATTATTAATAACATTATTTTTTAAATAGTATTTTAATTATTTATTATAAAAGGTCCATGTCATTACAAATTCTACTATAGATTCAACTACTGAATTAATAGAAGAGTCGGATAAAAAAGTAGTTTATATGAATAACTTAGAAAAAAGAAAACAAGTATATGGAATATGTGGAGAATGTAATGAACCTGGCACAGGATGGTATTGGTGTCAACCTTGTAATGCTAAAAGACTTAAGGATAACTTTAAAAATTGGACTAGTGGAGATAAAAATATTGATGAATTTATACAACAATCACAACTTAATGCTGTGTACCTTAGTAAATATCTTGAATGGATACCTTTTGAAAATTTTAATAATATTACTTATATTACCAGAGGTGGATTCGGTAAAATCTATTCAGCAAAATGGCCTGAAGGATATATTTATTATTGGGATATTGAAAATCAAAATTGGGTAAGGTGTAGTATTGATAAAGTTGCATTAAAAAGTTTGGATAATTCATCTCGTATGAGTACAGAATTTTTAAATGAGGTAATTAAAATAAGAAATGTAATATACTTTTATTTTTATTTGTGTATTATTTACATATTATTAAAATTTTCTCTTTCAATATTTTCATTAGATTAAATCTCATCTTCAGATTTATCTTTGTGATGTTATTCAATGTTATGGAATAACTCAAGATCCAAATACCAAAGATTATATGATGGTTTTAAAATATTGTGATAGTGGAAATTTTAGAAATTACTATCTGAATAATGAACCAGCTTATTATTTAAAACTTAATAATTTAAAGGAAATTGTAAGAGGACTTCTAGATATTCATAATGCTGGAAAGGTTCATAAAGATTTTCATTCAGGTAATATATTATATAGTTCTGTTGGTTATCCATTGATAAGTGATTTAGGAATGTGCCAATCAGCAAATAATGAAAAGAAATTAGTTAAACAAGAAGGAATTTATGGAGTATTACCTTATATGGCACCAGAAGTTTTACGTGGATATCAATATACAAAAGCATCTGATATTTATTCATTTGGAATAATGATGAATGAATATATATCTGAAGAAACTCCTTATAATAATATTCCTCATGATTATGCTTTGTCTATTAAAATATGTAAAGGACTTAGACCAATTATTTTTAAATATACACCAAAATTACTTGCAGATTTGATCACTAAATGTTGGGATGCTAAAGCAGAAAATAGACCAACTGCTAAAGAATTGTATCAAATATTAAATAAATGGGATAATTATGGATATGATGATAGTGATACTAAATCTCAAGTAAATGAATATGATGATAAAATCAAATTAAACAGAACAAATGAAAAAAGATCTAATAACATTCAAACACATCCACAAGCAATATATACTAGTAGACTTTTAAATTTTAAAAATCTTCCAGAACCAGTAAATTCAGGTAATTTAATTTAATTACTTTTTAATGAAAAATATATTTATGTTGCTAATTATTGTATAATTTCCAATAGATGCAATTCAATCAACATTATGTAAGTAATTATATTTATTGGTATTTATATAATTAAGTTAATTTATTAATATTAATTTAATTGATTATAGTTTCAGAAGGTTTTGATTGCCAATTAGATGAATCAGGTAAGATATTTATTCTTTAATGTTTTATTTTATCAATACTTATTTATATATATTTATTTTGTTTATTTATTTTATAGATCTTAATGAAATGAATCAAGATGATGAAAATAATATTGAATGAAGTTTTCTTTTGAATCAGAGAAATTAGTTTAATCAAATATAATAACATCACTAAATTATCTTTTTATGTATTTTATATATGGTATATTGATTAAAATAAAATTTAAATTGTTATTTAATAAAAAATTATGGTTATAAATTAGCCAGAATTAACATTTGTCTGTTAATAATTTATTCTATGTATTTCAAATGTCTTCATGAGTAAAGATAAAATCTGGAGCTCAATGTCTTAAATTGTCTTAAAGAGCAAGAAACAGTTAGATAGTAAGAAAACAGCATATAACTAAGAAGTAGAAAGTGAAATAACTAGTGAAACTCAATTTGAAGCAAACCTTTAAATGATAGTTATTGCGTTGTTCGGATAAAGATCATTATGATAGTTTAATATATAAATAATAAGTATAGTTTAAAAGTCTGTTGTATTGAAATTGTTTTTCTCTGTTAAATAAAAATAGTTTAAACGTCTGTACTGACGTTTTGATGCTAAAACTTATTAAAATAATTAATTTAATATTAAAAACTTTAATATTTCGCCATTAACAAAAAATATCAGTCTGATGATCCTAATAGACTGACCAATAATATATATCAATATTTTATAAAAGTATTAAACAAATTTACTGTCGAACTATCCCGCCATAATGATGAATTTTTATTTTTAAACAAAAATTTTTTGTTTGATTCCTTAACTCAAAAAAATCGGAAATTTTGGAATAAAACTATCTAATTTGAGAATTTTAAATTAACTACTATTAACTGCACATGTCACACGTAAAAAAAAATTTAATGAAAAAGCAAACATAGTTTAAAATATTTTACATTAATTGGTGATCCGCGAGTCAAGTAGCGAAAACGATAATAAAATTTGACGGAAATTTATTAATTAAAGGTCGCATTTCTGAATGTGGAGTTGTTCATGAATTTCGCTAGCCAAATGTTTAAATAACGCCATTTTGCTTTAATGAAATGGTTTTCCACAGTTTTCTTACCAATCTCATGCAAAAAAACCATAATGTAACGTTGGAAAAAGTCCAATTTCTAAGAGATCTGAGATTTGAAAGACAAAAACTAGCTTTATCATACCATATCACTTGTATAATGAGTGTGAAAAAGATTTGAATTTGTCAGGTTAGAAGTTATTGCAGCATAGTTTACTTATAAAATATATCAAAAATAAAGCAAATATGCATGAAATTTTAGTGAAATATAAAAAAATTTCCATAATTTGTACTTTTAAAACCTTAGTTTACCTAATAACATAGTAAATGCCGCGTGCTTCCAAGGTAAACTTCGTCAAAAAAAAGTTTTACGCTTGGTGGCTTTGAAAAATAAAAGTGTGACATTTACTTTATTGTTTTTTGGGTTATTTTTAGTAAACTATGCTTATAGTTTTTGTCACATCAGAAATCATTAAAGTCAGCGTATTACGACAAATTAGTATATGATCTGCGTCAAATTTTATATGTAATTTCTCTAGTTGACTCGCGGATCGTCAATTAATGTTAATTGATCAAAGATTGATGTTGATAAATTTGCATGGTTTCTTCAATACTGTAATCAAATAAATTAATATTAGACATAGACAAAAGTTTTAACCATGAACTTTCAATATTATCTCAATAGACATAATAGGGTGGCTAATTGGGTTATACATCATAATTTCTTTCTTACTTATAAGCCGTCACAATTTTATAAGACTAGGAAAACGGAAACCGTTTAAGTTCTCCAGGCTTTTTTGGTATTTGTGTAATGACATGGGTACAACTAAATTATACGACATTAATATATTTCAGTGGCTCGTATTAAAAAAGGAAATAAAGTGATGTTTGTGACAGGGTCAAAATACCGGGATAAGCTAATTTACTAGTAATGCAGTACAGTAAATATTCCTTTAGACTGAACAGAATAAAAATTTTTTATCTTTTTAAAGATTATATATATGATCAATCAAATTAAGTAGATACTCTATAAATATAAATAGTTTTTTTTATAAGTAATGTCTAACATCAGAAAAGCTTTTGCATAAATGACTATTGAACTGAAAAATGTAGCGCAGCATCTAAGAATTGTGAAAATTTGATTATCACAACAAAGTTTTAAGGTTGTTAAAACAAAATAAAATGATATTAACTATTAATTTTATGTGATAATTACGAGAATTTAACTTTTTATTTCCTTATTATAAGAAATACTACAAGTTCTTTATAGATTTAATTTTTTTTAAAAAAATACTCTTAATAATAGGAATATTTATTTTAAAATACAATCTTCACACAACTTTTACTAATAATAATTTTTCAAATATTACTTAAAAGAATTAATAATATACGTTTATTGTTTCATTTTTACTATTTTACGTAATTAAAATTTTTTTATACTATTTTCAAGTCATGGATTTTACATTAAATACCATCATTTTTTAATTTTATATAAAGTTTATAGAATTACGCTTATGAATCATTTTATCATTGTAAATTAATTACAATTCAAGTCATTTACTATAATAAATTCTTCAAATTTTGATGTAATGATGTATATAAATTGATATGTTGCATTTATTAGTATGCATAGAAAGAAGTAGAATTTCAATACGGATAAAACCTTAAATATCTCATGCAATATAATTCCAGCTTTGAATAAATTTATTGTATAATTAACCGTATAATTTAACCAGATTGTTCGCCTTACTAAAGTAAAAATAAATAAAAATAAAAATAAATAATGTTGTACACTACTCTGACCTTGTCATCATTTTAAAAATAAAAATTAAAATAAAATATGTTGCAAATGTTGCGAATTTCGGCCAGAGTTAACATATTATTTTAAAATTTTGTATTGATTCTGATAGTTCCAGACCAAATTAATTATACCGGATACTGGTTCAGATCGACAAAAGTCATATGATAACGAAATTTATAATGACTCATTTAAGTAAAGCAATTTTTTACATGATAATTAATAATTAAATCATCCAATTTAATTATGATTTTATATTCTAAGAAAAGTCCAGCCATTCAGTAATTTTATTTTAGATAAACAATTATTGCGTAAATATCTTTGATATTTTTGACGCATTACGTCATATGTAATAGTACGCAATATTCGCAATATTAATAAATAAATAAAATTTTTTTATTTAATACTACAATTAATAATGATCTACGATTAGACTAGTACTTTTCAATGCTTATTAAGATGATTTCATTTAGTAAAGTAGTTTATTTATTACAGGGTTGGGTTAGAAATTATTAACTTTAATAATGTCATTATATAATTTAGTAAATAATTTTAGATAAATTATTATTATCAAAGCATAATATTGACTAGAATACCCATTTGCGAAAATTTTTAATCTATGATTGCTTTCATTTATGCCGATCAATTAGTTGTAACCAGGTTTATACTATATTAAAACAATAAAAAGATATTATTGGGCGTTTTTTATAAAACTAGTAACAATTTTGTTGATCATTTGTTGATCATTTATTTTTAAATTTATTATAAATTTTGTCACGAGATTTTCTATGGAAATCATTTCTCAATTTGTTATTAAAACACCTGCTGAATTGCCTCGAAATTGAAAATCATTTCTCTTTTTATAAAAAAATTTCCTTTTTGGTAAAAAACTCTCAAATTAATCTTATATAACTTTAT